AAAGCAATTAGACTTGAATTTTTCCTGATGTTGGGCCATATTTCATTTCTTCATTATTTGTTTTTGAAGTGGCTTTTCTTAAGATAAAGAGTGAAGATACCCCCTCTTAAACAAGCTTGTAATGCTCAGAATTGTCTGGATTTTTTTTTTTAACCAAACCTTCATGAGAGCAGAGTTTATTCAAGAAGCTCATGTATGAACAATGATTATGTTTATGAAAGGCATTTTTCAAGATGGCTTTGTAGTAGGTGGTCTTTGCAGAGGCTTTCTAACTCCTTGCACTTTCATAACAAGAATTATGACAGTATAATAGAGAGAATAATATGGGTAAGATCATGAGAGCAGTCAAACAGATGTCATCCATGTTAAACTGTTGGGGAGATATTGTGAGGAAATGAAGTTTTGTTTGGGTTTTGTTTTTTTTTTAAAAAAAAGGGTAGGGGGCAAGTAAAAAGGGAAAGAAACCTCTGCTAATGTAGAAGATTGTCCATTGCAAAAAAAATAGCCTTGTTAACACTTCTTCAGTGAGTCTGGCTCCTCAGAGGAAATGTCTTGTATAGAAAAGTGTCTGTGCAATCTCCTCTAGTCTGTATAAGAACCAGCCTTTCAGTAGGAAGGCTGTTTTTTTTAATATTATTATTATTTTATACATAATACATATTTGTAAAGAACAGAACACCTCTTTAGGGCAATGTACAGAGTTGGAACAAAAGCTCTTAATTATATTATTGTATCTTTTCATGAAATGAAAAAAGTAATTATTTTTTCAGCTTTGCCTTAAGGATTTTTAAAAAGATTGGAAACTTGCTTTTGGGCCACAGTAGTATACTGCCTAGGCTTCCCAATAAGCAGTTCACTCATTTTAACTATTGACATGTTTGTCATAAGAAGGAGGAAAGGAAATATTATAAATGAATTGAAGGCTCCTAAGCATTTGTTTGATGTTTGTAGTAAGGGCAGATTCCATAGAGTTCCTTCACTTACTCTTTGAAATAAATGAAACCAATTGCTGTTTAAAAATAATAATAATACTAGAGCGTCTCAGTGCTGTGGTGCTTTTGTAATGTGTTGAGATTTACTGTGGTCTTCTCATTCCAGTGAGGTATTTTAAAGCAATTCTGCAGTAAGTATGGAAATACTTTAGAAGAAGTATTAGACCTCAGGAGGCTCAGCATTTTTATTACATTTATTCAGCTCATCACAAAGGGAGATCTAGTGCCAATTTCTGAAATCCAGAAAAATATGTTGTAATATTACTTTTGAGTTTTGGTATTGATTCAAACCAATTACCTGTGTGCCTAGGTATTTTGAAAGAAACAACGGCTGCAATGCAAGGGAACCATAACATTTGGGGAGGCGAGCAAAGAAGAAAATCAACCAAATAATACCAAAGCAGTTTCTATTTTACTTGTTTCCCTCAAGATTTCTTCCTCTCTGTATTACTGCTGAGTTCCTAAAGATGGCTTTTTTACATCTGTGTTACTGATTAACATTCTATATAAATCTTTATGAAAAATTGCTGAAAAGTAAAAAAGGTGTTTTATTTTGTCTTACTGGTATCCAGACACATGCTGCTTCCTGCAAAAGGTGGCGGGACGTGTGTGTGGGGATGTAATTCCCCTGTTTCTTTAGAGCTGTGTGTATCTTACAGTTCTGCTGAGGATCTGTGAGCAAAGCTGTAAAGTCTACATAGATGAGATAATGAGGGACGGATGGAGTTTGTCCTCCTTGCTCTAGGTAAGCTTAGGCACCTTATTCTTCTCTCACATCCTTGTTGTGCAGGACTCGAGAGGAAATTTCATTTCTGGAAGGTCTGAACTCCTGTGTATATGCGTATTGTAATTGTATAGGGAAAAAAACAAGACTTTCCCTGCAGTTTCAGATTCTGATTGCTCCAGGTAGTATCAGTTTTAGCAATGGGAACTGGGAAGCTTGTTTCTGTTGTGCTGCCTGTTGCTTTGTCAGGCGATGCTGTGGTAATGGGGCTTTGGATGCAGCGCAAATTGGGGGAGAGCTGGGCAAGCCTTGTGACTCCAGGACTTAACAGAGGTCTGGGTCTGTCATTGTCACCTGTGGTGAGCATATGGCTCAATGGTAGCGCAGGTGGGCTATCTGGACAAGAAGGCTCAGGGTAAAGAATGGGAGGTGAGGAAGAGGAATTGCCAAACTGTCAGGATTTGAAAAGAGAATTGGAATGTTAACATCTTTCTCCCTCCTTCCTTGAACTTAAGGATAAGAAGTCAGAGGGAAAATTGGCAGGATAGGAGCAGGAAATGGTTCAGCCGCAAGACTAGGACCTGGCCTCAGTTTTAAAGTGAGGTAGAGATTGTGTGTCCCTGTGCGAGGGGAAGTGCAGTGCTGCGAAAGAAAGAGGAGCAGAGCAGGAGGGAGGCGACTCTGCCTGCCAGAGCACAACCTTCTCTTCCTCTCTGGAGATGACTGTCAGCTGATTTCTTTGTAATCCTCTGATACAGTCCTCCTCCAGTGCTGTTCTAACCACAAGGTTATAGACTCTATCTGTTGACTGCTCACTTCTCTAGCCTCATGTTGGGTTCATCTAAAAGGTTCCAGTATCTTCCATACAGACTTGTAAGAGCATCTGTATGATACTGTCTCATTTAATTCCTTTTTTGTCAGTTTTTTTGTTTGCAAAAAACCTGGGAAATCAATATTATATTAGAAACTTAACATAATTTTTAATGTTGTGAAATCAACCAGTCAAGAAATATTATGAGATTTGCCAGGTAAAAACACAAAACCAAAACAAACCAACTTAGTTCCAGACATATGTTGTGTGTGTTATCATGGGATTTTACCAGACTTCTTCATAATGATTATGCTCACATAATACAATTTACTCTGTTCTTACTTGTTCAACAGGAATCTGCATCTCTTAACTGCACACTCTTCAAAAGTAGTCTCAAAAGTTCTTTAAAGATATTAATAGTTCTGTGGTGTTCAGAGTATCTAGATGCCTCTTCCATATTAATAAATTTGTCTTCAAAAAAGCTTTTGAGATGTGTGATAGCATTTCTAGTTTAAATATGTGAAACTGAGAAACAGACATTTAAGATCAAATGTGTTTATAGATTTGAGGTGGTTATTCAGGACCTGAATATTTCCAGTGTTGAGGGTACATTTCAGACTGGCTTCAGGTGTGGCTATGGACTCTGAAGTTGGACGCTCAAAAACTGAAAAGGAAAAATGTTACTGTAAATTTTTATTATAACTAAAGCCTGCTGTACATCTGTGGCATAGATAGAGACAGGATCCTGTTCTCAGAACAGTCTTTGATTACTTTCAACACAAGATCTTCCATCTTATTCCTGCCTTTCCGATTTCCATCTTCATTTTCAGAGTGCGTTCCAACTTCAGAACATGAAGAGATAAACCGGTCAGTGGGAGCTTCTTTGATCCTCATGGCAGATCTGTCTAGTAACAGTGAAAAATTTGAGGAGGTTGTGTAGAAGAATGGTGTGTGATGGTACAATGAATGTATTTTATATATGCAGAAGCGGCTGAAACAAAGATAGCTTACTTAATTATTGTATTTCCTAACTGCAGGTGCTTGAAAACTGCAACTGCAGTTTATTGTTAGGGATTATTTACATGATTCTGGGTTTCATGGACTTGACTTTTTTGCAAGTAAAAATAGAATATATACCTTAATCCAAAATAAAAATAGGTAAGAGAAGCCTTATGAAGCTTGGTGCTTATTCCACATATTTTTTACCAACCTGAACTTCTAAAGTTGTGTAAGCTGAAGTGTTGTATATATGTACCTAAGGTTTTTTAATAATAATCTGTTTCATCATTCCTGACTTTTCTTAGAAATAAAAACCTTTCTTCATATAGGCTTTTTTTGGTTCTTACCTTTCCAATGCAGATGAATTGTTAATAGAAACTGATGGTAGATAACTTTCTGAAGTTCCAGAATCTCAGATGATTTTTTTTTTTACTAGGAATTTTAAGGAAGTTGTTGTATCTTAGTAGAAGAATTCAGGAGTCATGAAATGGAAAAGATGATGCAAAATTACCATTGAAGTAATTAAAAAAATCCATTTTTTGCCTGTCTTATGACTTCCATAGGACCTATATACCTGAGGACAGGCTCTGTGTTTAGTAAATGTTTTAAATGTGGAAAATTGGTGGGAGCTAATGTGCTTCAGGTTATGCTTATCTAGTTATAGCTGTGGAGCTGCACAAAGGAAACTGCCAGTAAGCCATAGGAATTTGTGATCAGCTGTAAACTAAATGTAGGCTGCATAACATTGCTACCATATTGATGTTTCTATTACACAGCTAATTAAACTGATTTGAGTTGACTCCTACCTTCAGGTGCAAAGGAATAATCATCTGGAAGTGTTTCTTTGATAATTTTATGTACGTTTGTGTTGATCTGTTGGGGTATTATTTACTTCGTTGATGTTCTCTGCTAGTGCAGTGCCTATAAGTAACGTTTGAATCTTCTCAGTTTATGTAAATGTTGATGCTTTATACAAATAAATGCTGGGGGCTTCTCCCCATGGGACTGTCTCTGCCAGTAAGCCTGCTTTTGATGGGGAAGCGGTCAGAATATGTAATCACAGCCTATTACTGAGTTTAGCAATTCTAAACTTTCTAAGGAATACAAAAGTAACTTTCTAATAGGGGACTGAACAGGCTCATTTGAATTCTGACATAAATGATTTGGAGGATGTGATGTATATAGTTTCATTAAGCATTTTGAGGGTCTAATATTTTTTCTGAATATACTTTTTCTTTACAGTTCAGAACTAGAGATATACTTAATTAAAAAAATGGAACTGCAAAGAAGGTGTAGGTATTCTTTGTCACTTTATGACTATGTGGAAAAAAAGACTTTGAGAGTGGCGTTCCTTATTTGCATTCATGTTTTTCTCTATCATTTTAAAAGAACAACTTAGAAGTTTTTTATTAATTTTTACATAATATCATTACTGGTTTTAAATTATTGTTTCTTGTTGAACAGATAAAAGCAACTCAGTTTTCAGTAACTGAATAGACATCATGTCTCGAGCACGGCAGCCCCCGCTTGTAACTGGCATCTCTCCCAATGAAGGCATCTCATGGACAAAAGTGACAATTAGAGGAGAAAATCTGGGGACTGGGCCTGCAGACCTCATAGGTAAGTTGAGGAGGAAAAAAAATCCAAACAAAAACAAAACAAAAAAATCAACCCAACTTTTGAGACTGTCACATTTAGGATATGATTAGAGATAATTTTTTTGCATGGTAAAATCTATGTTATGAGGAATGCCCTTTTCTGAAATATGCATGTGAATCCATAAATTCAGGGATGCTGCCTGATGTAACTAATCAGAATGAGCACACTTTGCTAGATGAACCCTTAGCCTGACTCAGTGTCCTGTGCTGAACACTAGCTAGGAGTGAATGCCCATGGGTGTGCACTAGAAGATGGTATACATGTAACAAGATTCTCCTTTGTTACTTTCACAGACACTGAGCATTTCAGCATGGAGACTTCCCTGTCAGAAGCATTTTCAATGTTTTGAAGAAGTCACTGAGCATTATTTTTCCTTGAATTAGTGTAAAAGCCAATTTTTGTATCTGCAACAGTTATGCCAGAGCAGGTTCAATGATTTAGCTACACATTATGAGAAGAACTGTTTACTGTTTTGGTTTTAACATAAATTGAATCATCATAGCTCTTGTGTTGAAAGAGGGAACAGGCAGTTTTCTCTGATTCTCCTGACCATACAGATCTTGATCATCACTGCTCTGTTGCCTCTTTTCCAGGCTGAAAAGTCCTAACATATTTAAAATTTCTGCATATATCTTTGCAGACCCTTATTGTTGCTCTTCAGTGAATCTCTTTTGGTTTCACTACCAATGATGAGTGAACAACATCTTGGTTACATGCAGTGTTCAGGATGTGAACACACTGTAGCACAATACTGTACTCTCACTTTTGTTTTGTATTTCTTCCATAGGATTCTGTTTTCCGTATAACTCCTACTAAGCATTGAGCTAATATTTTTCATTGTTTTGCTTATTCTAGTCCTATGACTTAATGCTTGAGGGTTAGTAGTCAGTTTAAACCTGTCATCTGTGAGTTCAAGGTTTTGCCTGTGTGCATCATATCTTTGTTCACTCAATTTCAGCTGCTGTTTTATAGCATCTACATTCTGGTGCATCCACTCAGTCTCAAAAGGTCTTTCCGTATTTTTTCTAGATTTTACGGTCTTTACATTCCGAATGAATTAATATCATCAGCAATCATGTCATTTATGAATTTATTGAACATAAGCAATTCCAGCACATGTTTCCACCATGGAAACTTTCCAAAGTTTCCACCATGGAAACTTTCCTCAGTGAAAACACACAATTTACTGTAACCCTGTTTCTATCTTTTAGTAAGTTGTTTATCTAGTGAGGATCATATCCTATAGCTACTTAATTTTCTTAAGCCTTTTGAGAAGGACTTTTTAAAATCTTCTGGAAATCCATGTTAACTACAATTACTGAAATTTCCTTTATTTCTTTTGTAAGTTAAGCATATGTGTACTTCAGTATTCATGTTAGAGACGATTTGTCTAATTTGTTGTGGAATCATGACTCCTCTGAAGTCCATTGGAATTTTGTTTGGCTCTGCTAGAAACAATATTTCACATCATGGCTGTAAACCAAGATTCCCGAATTCCATTCTTGGCCACCACAATGAACTTTATGGTCAAGCATAAGCTACTACAATTTTCCCCTTCACTTCAGTTTGCTGTCTCTCAAAAGGGGAAGTAGTATTTTCCTGAACTGCTAGACAAGATTGCAGCACACTAACGAATCTTTATTGAGAAGTAATCAAATAACTGAGGATGTTATAGGTGAGTGTATTTCTGTGTATTTGTGTGGCTGATGTAATTCGATAACCTCATTAGTTCATTGGTATGATCCTCTTAGAAGTGATCAGTGCTGGGTTCTTGAAAGGAAGATATCTCCAGAGCTGTGCCTGAGCTGTATTATGGCTGATTAACTGCTAATATGTTTTTCTCATATTTTTTTCAGAGTATCTCTTGTAACACATAGCTGCTAGTAATCTCATGATTTGAGGTAAAAATAAAAAAATAAATACTGGATTGCCCTATATTTTTTCCTTAGCTCAATTCTCAGTTTTCTCCAGTAAGTGACTAAGGCCCCAGACATGTAAAGATTTATTTCCATTGTTAAATTGGACATGTAAATATTCCCAGTGTATTGAATGAAAATACTTGCAGGGGTGAGCCTTTGAAGGCATGAGATTTAAGCAAGTTTGAGTGGGGTTTTTATAAAGTTTATAATCTGCTATTTGAGATGCATTAGAGTAAAATGAAATGCAATAATATTTTTTATATGTAAGCAGAATATCACATAATAGAAGAATATGCCTTTTCATTTCATTTAAGGGAGCTTTCTTGTAATCTATTTGTATCTTTGAAACCAAATAAACTTTTTATTTGTAACTCTCTAACCCAAGGTACAAAAAAACCAAATCCAGGAGATACCTTGCAACGTTTATGCTTTCAGGTTTTAGTTTGTCTTTTAAGATGTTTGCAGCTGTATTTTATACACATTGTAAAACTGTCAATGGATAAGCTTGTATTGGGAGTGATAGAGCGGGCTTTGGTGGGCATCTGGCCTCTAGCCAGGGTCAACCCACCACAAAGCTTAACCAAAATTGCAAAGTCTCAATAAGAGTTACTTGTGCCTGTTTATTGAAAGGCATATAAAAGCTCGAACCCCAGTATGATGTTCACAAAGATCTTTGTACCATGCAACAGATTAAAATGTAGTTTTACTTAAAGAGAAATTTTCTCTTTTTGGAGAAAGAAATGTTCTATTTGTACTATCAAAAGATCTCCCCCAATGTGCCTTTATTTGTTTTAGGAATTGTCTTCTGCCATTACTATGTTTAGTGTGGTATAAAAAATGCAAATAGAGACTTACTTTCTTTTGCATTTTTAAGATACAGACAAAGGCTGTTCCCTCCATTTCAGAAGTGTCAAATCTTGTGATTTTGTTCTCCTGAGAGCTTTAGGAACCCCCGATGAGTAGAAAATAATTGATACAAGGATATTTAAAACAATTATTCAAAAATATTTACCCTACTAATTTGCTGTAGGTCAGATACTGATTTTAAACTATTACTTAATTTAAGCATGAATTCAGATTTTTTTAAATTCTAGGGTGAAAACCTCTTTATGAATGTTTCAGACAAATAATTTTGGTTAGTCTTAGTTCCTACTACGATCTTATTTCCTTCAGAGAAATTGCTAGTGTAAAACCAAAAGAGATACAATAATATAATGTAAGGTTAAAACCCATGCATCATAAATGTGTTGTTTTTCTTCCCTTCTGAAAAAGTAAAAACTGGCTTTGTTAAAATGTTGCAAATAAATAACAACCAACAAATTTTATTCATTTTAAGGCTTTGTGTGTGTGTGTGTGTGTGTGTGTGTGTGTGTGTATCTATCCTATCTTGCCGCCCCTGCTCATTAATACAGGCATCTTTTCAGAAACAAATGTACTGTCCTTGCTTAAGCAAAATTGCCTTCAGTTGTAAGGTTCAGCGCCTTTCTATTTTTTATTTTTTTAATTTTAATTTTCAAAATAGTTTTTGGCAGGGAGCAAGGCATTTTTATGTCTGACAACCATGAAAACTGCCAAATTTGTCTGCTGTGTAATGTCAGAGACTTAAACTGTGAGAAAAAGTAAATGTGAAGCTTTGGTCCTGAGCCACATATGCTGACCCTTTTCTGTCTGTAAGTATTTTTTAAATCGGTCAGAGCTTTCTAGAAATTAAAAACAAAGGCCAAGCCAACAGGGGAGGAACTGCTATGCCTGAGTAATTTATACTCCAGTACAGCCAACACACTAATACAGCTTTGTCCTTTTGGAAATGTTTCTAGGTAAGGATGTTATTTAAGGAAAACATAATTGAAGTTGTTCTCCAAATCGAAACTATAGAAATTAGGATCTTGCCAGTTCTTCAGAACAACAAAACTCTGATTAGGAATACAGGAATTGTTGTTCTAGATCTGAGAAAACAATCCATCTCTCCTGATCTGACCAGAATTGATCAGATTGATTGGTCAGATTGAACAGTTGGTCAAACTGAAGCCTCAGGAAGCTTGGACCTTACATTAAGGTGTACCTTGACTCTTAAGCGTTAAGAGGTGTTCATAAGCACTAAAGCTTGACATATTTTAATATGCTATAGTCTTTTCATACAAGAGAGCTTCATGGCTCGTGAAATATATGTTGTATGTTTATTTAATAGTTTGTCATTTGTACTTCTGTTATGAGCAAGTTTAGAAAAGGAAATAGATGAACATTACATGACTGTTCATGGGCATACAACAAGGGCAGTTTATTCAGCAGAATCAGCGTCTTGCATCATGGATTTTGTACAGAAGAGAATGTGACAGCATATTTGTCAATATTTTCTGACCAAAAAAACCCCTTTCTCTGTCAGCAAAAGTACTGCTAAACAAAGAAGGTTGAAGAAACATTGTTCATTGTGAATATTTTGCATAGTTTCTTTTATTTTTGCTATGCAAAGTCACACAGAGTGAACTCATCAAAGATTTTTTGCATGCAGTTTTGGCAGAAGTTTCGCCTCAGTACAACACTGAACAGCAATTCTCTAGTGTCTTGCAGACAGAAGATCTATGGTACAACGTGAAGTACGAGTTGCAGCATCCCATAACTGGTGGAAGAGATTAAAATAAGCTTCAAGCAGCACTGTGTGTGTCTCATGTAGTGGTGCTCGAATAGAAGACCTGAAGTCACTTGGGGAACATCTGAAAAACATATTCATGACTCTTTCACTGTAGTTGGCTGTAAGGGACTAGAGAAGGGTCATATCTTTATGTAAAATACATGAAGCATCATAAATGTATTTGCTTTACAAAATTTCAAAAGATCCTGCTGTTCACAGTAAGGTTGTTTTTTTTTATTATTTTTCCTAGGTTTAACCATCTGTGGGCACAACTGTCTGCTAACTGCTGAATGGATGTCTGCCAGTAAAATTGTGTGTCGAGTTGGACAGGCTAAAAATGACAAGGGAGACATTATTGTTACTACAAAGTCTGGTGGCAAAGGAACTTCAACTGTTTCCTTCAAACTGCTTAAACCTGAAAAAATAGGTATTTTTTTGTTGTTGTTCAAATTCACATCTGCTTTCTGTGCTAAACAAATATATGATTGAATGCCTCTTTAAATAAAATGTGTGTTTAAAATGGATCCACCTCAAGACAATCTTCAGGTGTCTAGGAAAAACAAAGTATATCAATAAAACGTGCAAATATATATATAGATGAACTCATGGTATATGTGAAACTAATCCTTCTATCTCAATATCCTGATAGAACTCTCAATGATTAGTGAAAAGTAGCCTTTATTTTTCTGTAAGGAGTAACACTAAACTTCTAAAATCTAAAAAAAATTCATAACAGATCTAGTAATTACTCTTAAGTGTCCTAGATAAATACAAAATATAAACCAGCTCATGAGTTTTACACCTAAATCCTGAGCTGTCAGTTAATCCTTTAAAGAAACTGGAGTTCTCAGTGCTGTTTCTTATTTGTAATTCAAACGATCCTGCAAGATGGAAAGTCTTAAGTATTTCTCATGAGATGCTTAACCATTAAAATGATGTTGCCAAGCAGTCTAGGACCTCTGCTTAAGCTAGAATCCAGTCTAAATACCCTCTAGATTGAAAATGTTTCTTTCAGAACACCTCCATTGATCAAGTTGGATAGTTATTTTTTCCTAACATAGGGGTTCCTACAAGAAATAGTTCAGTGGCAGTTAAATAATGTGTAATTTCTCCCAAGCTGTACTAAGATCTTCACAATGGAAAGGTGAATCAAGTGCAAATGTTATACGTAGAAGCTTTTGGTGATGGGAGAGGAGAATTGATGTTTTAAACAATGGCTAAGTGTGGGGATGGGGTCATATCTGGTGTTGAGTATCTGATGGGCATGTTAAAGAAGGGCATGGCCAAGAGTATGACTGGCTGCAATTTTAGCTGAGAGCCAAGACCTAGTGTGCCTCACCTTTACATGTTGTCTGCTGAGGCTTTGGAAACAAAGTCAGTCCTGTGTCCGTTGAGTCATCCATCCTGGCAGGTGGCCAAAGTTCACTTCATTTGTGATTAGAGAGTGACACAGAAAAAGTATCTACCCTAAAATATGTGAATAAGAAGATCTCCAGGTAATGGCTCATTTTGAAAGCAGTAGATGGCAAGGTTTGGACAGACACCAAAATACTTGGAGGAATGAAAAATATTAATACTCTGAGATCAGGAAAATGCTCTTAATGTGCCTAAAACTGTGCACTCTGTAAAAGGTAATATTTGATGCCCAGCCGTGAATACCTTTTCAGCAGCTATAATAAAATAAATTGGCATAATTGCATCCAGGTTGTTTTGCCATGCATCTTCCAGTATATTACCTAGGCATGCATCTTACATTTATCAGGATTTTTCAAATTAATTCAGGATGTTAGCAGTTGATGGTACTGGACCGCCCTTGTTGTTTTAAGGATCTGCACTTTGTTTTCTCTAGGTATCTTGGATCAGTCTCCTGTCTGGGTGGATGAAATGAACTATTATGACATGCGCACTGATAGGAACAAAGGGATTCCCCCCTTGTCCCTACGTCCAACTAATCCCCTTGGTATTGAGATAGACAAGTGAGTACCAAATGCCTTTAATCCACTTTTTTAGTGGTTTTCTCTATATGTGCCTTGGTGAATTCCAGTGAAGTTTAACGATTTACAGGGCAGGGAAAGATTTAAAAATGCATACACATATTAGCTGTTGGTATGTTATTTGGTACTCACAAGAGCTGTTGGTGCATATTCTTTCCTGCTTCATAAAACTCATTTTTGGATCATCAATTAGAACTGTAGATAATCTAAAAGCCTGGTATATTGAACCCCAGTGATGTTTAGATTTTGAAGACTGGTAAATAACCTAAGGCTTTGGATTTATACATTGTAGTTATGGAATACTTACTGTTGCATTTGAGTTTCATGGGGCTTTTAAGTATGTTTAGATTGCTATCTGTTGCTAAAATTGCACTGTAAAATGTGATTTATTGTACCGCATCAACTGTTTTATTTTATTGAAATACTAATACTGTTTTCTAGACCACAGACTTCTTTACTTTTGTTCATAAGTATGGTGGAATTTATGACATTTTTTTCTGAAATAGAAACTTTTATAGTGAGTGATAAATGGAATTAGAGGGCTTTAAATGGGATGCTTTTAGGGCTCCAAACCTGACCAACTCCTCAAAATAGCATCAGGAATAATATTTGTCTTGATCAAAATACCAGCTCTCCCAAAAACAAAGGCTATTTAAAATTAAACTATTACTAGGAGTCTCATCTGCTGAATTCTCTGTCTGTGAAGAGGAGTGCACTGGAGAAAATCTGCAGTGTCTGATGTTACCTTGTTCTGATGGAAAAACTGCACTTTCCCAAAACCTGTATGGGATATCTAGTGGATATGCCATCAGCTTCTGGCTGTGTATTTCTTTCCTAGTTTGAATATGTATTTTTCTTTCTTTTCAAAGTGCTAACCCTTTTTTTTTTTTTTTTTTTTTTTAACAAGCTGAAGATTTTGTCTCTTTAAATATTTTTCTCCAGCCTTGAGGTAACTTCTGATAGATACTTCTTTAATCTTCCCAAGTTTTCCATTCCTGTTAAAATGTGGAGTCTAGAAATGTGGACAGGATTCCAGTATCTTACAGGAAGACTCCCTGTCTCTCCTCCATTCTCCATCCCCTGTTTGTAAATTAAAAAAACCATAATAATCCTTTTTACCACAGTGCTGCACTGGCAACTAGCAGCGAGTGGCTTGTTAGCGGATTCTCTTGAGTTGCTGCTTTTGCTGCTGGCATGGTCACTCATTGTTCTGTAGGGATGGCCTGGATTCCTGTATCCTAGCTGTATCTTTTTGCATTTGACCGTGTTTCTCTATTTGTTGCTTCCTTGACAAGTGTGTCTTCTCAGTCCAGATGACAGTCTTTCTTCTTAATATTTTTGCAAACTATAAAAAATTATTGATGATAAAGTAGTTATTGGTGATGATACAAACAGTAATGAAAGGGTAATATGGGCTTTACTAAAACTCCACCTACAGATGTTCTCAGGTTTACTTCTCCATGGATTGTTGTTTTTTTTGTAGTTAGTTCTTTAATCTATGTGATATATTCTATTGGCATTGCATAAATCGAAGTTTTTAATCAATCTTATGGTAACAAGTCTCCTTTAAAATGACGATATATTAATTTTGTCTAGTTAGTTTCTTCAGTGAAGCAATTAATCTCAAAGCCCATATAATATATTCTCAAACATTGTATAAAACAGTTGTGACTGGCTGACATTAAAACTAACTTTCTGTGTTTTAATTCTGTATTTGTTGAACCCTGCAACGGCTTTTCCATTATTTTATCAGATTTTAAGTCAAGATAACTAGTTCTAATGCATAGTCCTTTATCTGTATATATCTCACAATACTTCTTCCTGTAAATACGATGTTTATGACACAATTACTTCTAATTTATTCTTATTTTAACAAAACTTCTAATACAGTATTTGACTTTATAACCAAAATTGATAGTTCTTACAGTTAAGACAGTGTCAATGTGATAATTAAGAGTTACCTTCCAGAAACCTTAACAGCATTAGTTTAGGATTTAATTTAGTCATTTCTTTGGATGTTTGTTAAATAGGAAACCAACAATATTGTATTTTAAACGTTTCATCTGAAAGCATTAGAAAATATCATATTAATGAGACATCAGATTTTGTGTGAAAAATAAGTCAGAAATATGTAAATACAGATAGGAAATAACCTTTTAGTGAAGGGGAGGGGAAATAGGGCAGTATTTGGGCAGGCATAATATCAAGCCTAGTTCATTGTTCATTGATCTCCAAGTTCATTAGAGGTGAAGCATTAAGATTATGGCACACACTGGTGTTGAGAATGACCAGTTTGAGAGAAGAAATATTACTTAATGTAACAAGTAACTGTGTAGAGAGGTTGAGGGGTAAGTTGTGGAAAGGGCAGAGGAGTAAAGACAGAGAGGAAAAGCCTGGTCTGCCCTCATGCTATAGGTGACAGTACAGTGTTAATAGCTGTGACTATAGATGGAACATTCTGTGTTTGAAAAGTGCCTTCCAAATGGAAAAGCTTTCCTAATTTGCTTGAAAAAATGGAGCAATGCAATGTTTACTTTTATAAAATAATCTGTAATACCATATAGTTTAACTGAACTCACATGTTTGGAAATACTTGACATATGGGATGAATAAGTAATGAGAAGTTGTACAAGGTAGTGAAAAAAAGGCAATTAGAAATTAAGAAGTGGAATGGATAAGCAAGATATTTTTGACCCCAGTGGGGTCACAGCCTCAAGCTAGGTGTGGGAATAATTTGTGACTAGAAGTGAAAAAAATTGTTAGAATTTTGGGATGCTTTAAGAAAGAAAGCCTCATATGATGAACAGCAGTTGTGAATACAAGGAGATGTATTCTTTAATAATAAAGAATTATAAT